ATCCAGGGCCCCTCGGGGGTGGGGGCGGTGCCAGTCTGTCTGGAAGAGGGGACAGCAGCGCCCCCCTTGCCTTGTTGGGGAGCCGGGGGTGGGGAGGGCAGGGAGCTCCGCAGAGGCAGCCTCGCGGCTGGAGGGCGTGTGAAATATTTCAGGGCTTAATTAATTTAATTTGAGAGATTCCTTTTCGGAGCGTGAACAGTTGTCTCCCAAGAGACGCACCCCCCACCTTCCCCCCCGCCTGCCAGGCGCTGGTGGGCGAGGGAAGCGGCGAGTCGGTCTCGAGAGGAGCCGAGCTGCGGTGCCCAGCCTCCCCGCCTCTGCCCCTGGCGCCTGCGTCGGGGTGTCCTTCCTGCCACCCGGGGAGTGCGCGCGGGGGTGTGAACCAGGGGCCCCGCGCGTGGGGCTGTGGGCGTGCGGCTGCGGCGGGCAGGGCCGCCCTGGATGGGGACGGTGGGTGCGCCAGCGAGGACGCGGTGCCGCGGGTGGGGCGCGTCTCCCCCCCCCCGCCGCCCCCCGAATGGAGGAGGAGGGGAGGCTGAGCGAACTGGGGCGCCTGCTCAGCCCACGGCGAGCCAGGGCAGGGGGCGCACGGCGGGAAAGGAGGTCGCGCGGCGGGGGCGCGGGAAGAGGGCCTCCGGGGCCGGCCAACGAGGCGGGGCGAGCGGCGCGCCGATGGCCGCGCCACACACGCGCAGCCCGAGTCCGCGGAGCCCGGTGCGGCGTCCGCGGGGCTGGCACGGAGGCCCGAGCGCGCGGGCCCCGGAGCGTCTGCAATGGGCCTGCTGGGCCTGGGTGCCCCCGGGCGCCGCCCCCGCCCCCGCCCCCGCCTCCGGCTGCGCCTCCGCCTGCGAGGAAGGAACTGGAAGCCAGACGAGAGCGCAGGAGCATGGGGCTCCGGCCCCAGGCACAGGAGGGGAGGGGTGGCCGCCGAGGCTTGGGCTGGGTGGGGGCGGCCCCCAAAACTGTCCTCTAGCGCCTGGGCTCAGAGCCCCCGGTCTAGGCTTCTGGCTGCTGTCCTCTCGTCCCAGGTAGACAGGTCGCCGCCTGGCTGTGACCTTCAGGACGAGCGGGTCCGGGTCTAGGCCTCGAGCCCAGGGAGGAGCTGAGGGGTGGCCGGAGGAGGCTTCCCAGAGCACCCTCAGTCTGGTGTCCCGCAGGTCGTTAAGTCCCCTGCGGTCCCTGAGCCCTGTGGGCGGGACTACCCCCGCCGCTCGGCCGGGCGCCGGCGGCCCTGTCCACGGTGCTGAAAGCGGCACCGCGCGTCAGGACGCTCCGTGGCCCTGGGAGCAGAGCGGCCGCGCCCTGCACCCTTCGGCCGCGCCCCGCCTCCTTGCCCAGCGTGAGCTTCACTCCCTGAGCCCCTCCAAGGCGGCGGCGGGGTGGAGTTTGGGCCCCCAGCCCGGGGAAGAGGGGGGACTGAGCTCGGGCAGGCTTCGCCCCGACTGCTCGGGCCTTGGTGTCTCTGAGGGAGAGAGTGGTGGGGCTGTCGTGAGGACCCACGTTCAGATGCAGGATACTCGGGGGCCTTAGATCTGAGAGCACATCTCTGGAGCAAGAGGCCCCAGGCCCCATCTGGAGCTCGGGCTGGAGCAGAGGCCACCCTTCCTGCCTCGCTGCGCTGGCCCCCCAGAGTGGCCATGCCGCGGTGTCGGTGGAGGGACTCGCCTTCACGGGGCGGGGTCCCTGGGCCCCGGAGCCACCGCAGGCTGCAGCAGCAGCAGGGTGACGAGGTGCTGAGAAGAGCCGGGGCCTGGGGACGGGGCTGTGGTCTGTGCGGGGACCGGTCCTCAGCGGGTCCCAGGGTGGCGAACGGCCGCCTGCAGGCTGTGAGCTCGGGCCCGGCTGCCAGCGGGAGCCGAGGGGGTGGAGGACTGCGTGTCCTCCCCGTGGTCCCCAGGCCTCCCCATCACTGCGCAGCGCAGGGTCCGCCCCGCCCGGCCGGGGGCTTCCCCGGTGCCCCCGCGCTGTTGGGCAGAGGAGGCCGTGCCGGCTCAGGGCGGCCGCTCTGCTGACTCATCTCCGGAGCCAGCAGGCCACACCGCCACCCCCTCCCAGGAGGGCCCGGGGGCGTGACATCCCGTGTCCCCGGGAGGGAAGACGGGTGGTGGCTGTGCTCGGCCACAGAGACTGCCCCCAACCCCTCCCCCGCCGCCGCAGGGAGCCTGTGAAGCGGCACGAAGTGGGTCACCCTTAGCTCTGCTCGCGGCCTGGAGGCACGGTGGGGGAGGGTGGCCCGCCCGCTGTCCCCGGCGTTCGTGCCGCCCCGCATGGCCCTGCCAGCCTTAGTGGCCGGACCCCGGCGGGGCTGAGAGGGGCCACCCTCCTCCTGCTCCTCCTGGTCAGCAGTGGACTCAGAGCCGGGACTCCGGTACACTCTGTCCCCCATGAGTGACAGGGAGGGTGCTGCTCCCTGTCACCTGTGCTAGCACCAGCTGACACACAGCCAGGTGCCCGGGGCACTGTGTGGCGAGGTGGCCCTGTGCTGGGTGCGCCCCCCTGCCTGGGGAGGGTGCAGGGCTGGTCTGTGGCACGAGGGGACCTGGGTGGGGGGCACAGGGCTTTTGGGACAGAAACCGCGGGGCTCTGAAGAGCTGACCCCACTGAGGGGGCCCAGGCCTGTGGCTGGGGACGGAGGGAGGGGAGGAGGGCTGGGGAGGGGCTGGGGCAGGTGAGACGCCCTCTGGGTGGTCACGGGGTCCTGTCGGGGGAGACAGCGAGGCGGGGGGGGGCCGGAGGGGCAGGTGGGCTGAGCCGGACACAGGGCCACTCCAAGGCCAGCCCGGCCCCCCGCTGGGTGCCCACCCCAGGGGCGGAGCTGGGGGCAACACCTCCCCCTCCCCCGTGGCCCCGTTTGCTGCACAGACAGCAATTAGAGCTGCAACACTGTTGGGCAACAGCCGAGCGTGCGGGGGGCTGGGTGACGCGGCTGTGGGCTCCCCGGCAGGGCGGGCGCTGTTTCTGCCCCCGGCGCCTGGCAGGAGGCCCGGGAGTGCCCCCCACCGACCACCTGCGGAGGTCTAGGGCCAGGGGACCCGCGTGGCGAGCCGCTGCCCGGGGCAGGGAGCTTCCCCAAGGAGGGCGCCTCCCCGCTGGACTTGGAGGGGCGCACGGGAGCCTGTCGGGCGGGGAGGCAGCCGGTGGACGAACGCTCAGGCCGGAAGGAGCCGCTGGAGTCCCAGGACCCCTCGCCGTGCGTCCCGGCCGCCCGGCCCCACCTGCAGGCCCAGGAGCAGCTCCAAGGGGGGCGCCGGCCTCGCCCCACAGCCCGGGGGCTCGTCAGGGGCCACGTCCGCGGTCCCTTCGTCCCCCCGCCTTTCTGGGCGGCGTGCCCCAGCTGGTGACAAAGCAGCCGTGTTGCCTCGTCCGTGGAGTGGGGTGGTCACGGGAGCCCAGTACCAACGTCCGGCCCGGCCCGGTGCTGCCCGGCAGGCGGCTGCCCCGCCCGCCTTTCTGCCTCTGGGGCGCCGGCCGGGCGGCCGCACTGCCCTCTCCCTGCCTGTCAGTACGAGGCGCGGCGCATCCTCGCTGGCAGCAGCAAGCCCCCCACGCGTCTGCGGCGCTGCCTCCCAGGGACGTGCGGGGGGGGGGGGCGTGAGCACGTCCCCGCACAGGCCAGGCGCCCCGTGACCCGCACCCCCGTCCGGGCCTGTGCGTGTCAGAGGCGGCGCCGCTTCCACGTCTGCCCGGGAGCTGCAGAGCGGCCCGGACCCCCTCCGGCACTGTGTGGGACACCACGCCGTCCCTGTGCGTTGCTGAACGAGTGGCCGCGCCCGCCTGCCTCACGCCCCCGGCGCTGCCCCACGGGGTCCCTGAGGCTCACAGGCGGGCGCGCCTGGGATCTCGCCCCAAAGCCCACCTCGCCGGCCTCTGTCCTGCGCCCTCGGGACGTGGAGGGCCCTGTCCCTCTCTGGGCGGGGGCCTCCGCCTCCTGTGACTGCTGCTCCCTGCGTCCTCTTGGCCCGTCGACCTTGTTCTGGGGACTTGCCAGACGGTCCTGCCTCAGACTCCGGTGGCCCCCGCCTGTTCCCGTGTCTGGGCCGAGGCCGCGGCAGTTGGGGCTGCCCGTTGGTCGGGGCGCGGGGAGCCCAGGCCGCCGGCTCCGATGGACGTGTGCGGGCCCTGCCCCTGCTCCCCGGCCTGGAACCACGGGGCTCCCAGGCAGATCGGACGCTGCTGGTGAGAAGCCCCAGGAGCCTGCAGCCCTTCCTGGGCCCACCCTGCCGGGCGTCTGTCCCCACCGCCGGGGCTGGAGCTTCAGGGCCCCGGGCCAGGCTCCCACCCCGCTCCGAGCCTGGCAGCCGCGCTTCTGGGGGTGACAGCCTCCTCTTCCGGCCACGGGAGGAGGCGGGGCTGCGGGGCCAGAGCGGGGGCTGAGCCCCGAGCTTGATTAGGGGGCTGTAGCATAAAGTGTTCTTGCAAATCGGTAAGGACCCCCCCACAGGGCCCCCTTCTGATGTCGGGGATGACGGGTGGGAGCCCCTCAGCGTCCCCAGGAGGGGAGACCTGGCGTGGTTTGCGTCCTGTAAGACAGCAGAAGTCGCGCTCCGGCTGCGGCGCTGTGGTCACGGGTGGTGCCTCGCGTGGCCGCGCTCAGGCCCCCGAATTGGCCTGGGGCAGGGTGCTGGGGCCCGAGGCACCTGGGCGGCCTGGCAGAGGGCAGCCGGCAGGGGGCTGGGGGCGGGGGAGGGGTGGCGGGCGCCGAGTGTGGCGGGCGGGGGCCATGTGGGGTGACGCAGAGCTGGCCCCAGGCCCCCAGGCCCCCAGGCTCCCCAGGCGGCCTGAGGGAGGGACTCCGGGCCAGACCTGTGAGGAGGGCGTGGGGCGCAGAGCTGCTCTGGGCGGACTGGGGAGTGCGCGGGGGCTGCATCGGCCAGAGGCTGCGGTTGGGGGTGGGGCCCTCCCTGGCCCGGGCCGAGGTGGGGCGGGCTGAGGCCGTCCCCAGGAACACTCTGGCCCTGGGCGCAGCCCAGGACGGGGCTGACGGGCTTCTCTCCCCGCAGGCCTGGTGAAGCTGGGGATCCACTGCGTCACGTGCCAGAAGGTGGCCATCAAAATCGTCAACCGGGAGAAGCTCAGCGAGTCTGTGCTGATGAAGGTGAGCAGGGGCTGGGGGCAGAACAGGGCTGGGCACGTGGGAGCGGACCCCCCCGAGGGCGGTGACGGTGACGACCCTCCGCTTAGGTGGACGAGGGAGGGCCAGTGACCTCAGCAAGGACCCTCTGGTGGCTGGGGCGGGGAGGGGGGCTTGGGCGGGTTCGCCTGGGGAACCCCAGGGGACCGGAGCTGGAGTGGTTTTAAGGGAGGTGGCGGCGGCCTGGACACGGTGGGGGGGCCGGCGCCCCTCACCTGGGCTCCCGCGGGGGTGTGCGCACGTCCGAGTGGAGGGACGGGGCGGGGTGTAACTGGGGCCCACCCCCTGAGGGCCTGGCAGGGACCGGAGCCCGTGGGCGAGGGGACTGGGCGTGGCCCTGGCACCCGTGGGGCTGTGTGTGTGCGGTGCCGCGCGGGCCGGCCCGTCCCACCGCGGGGAGACCGTGCGGCTGGTCCGGCCCCACACGCCGGCCCCGGGTTCGGGCGGTGGGCGGGCGCGGGGCCTGGCGGCGAGCCCCCACGTGACCCACGCCTCGGCCGCAGGTGGAGCGGGAGATCGCCATCCTGAAGCTCATCGAACACCCTCACGTCCTGAAGCTGCACGACGTCTACGAAAACAAAAAATATTTGTAGGTATTGCTGGGCGCGCAGAGCTGGGGGGCTGAGCGGGGCCCCGGGCGGTGGCGTCGCTGCTCCTCGAGGAGACGTGGGACTCGCAGAGCCACCAGCTGTGGCCGCCGTCGGGGGCAGGGCTCCCAGGAGGAGCAGCCCGGGGGCAGGGGCCCCAGCAGGGCACCGGTGGCCGGTGCTCGTGTTCAAAGGAGCACGGGGGGCGCAGCCGCCCCCGGGCCCTGAGGAGCAGGGACGCCGTCCCCCCAGGTCCGAGGGGCCGGCAGGCCGTCGGCCCCCATCAGAGCGGGACGCGGGCACATGCAGGGCGCGCTCCGGCGGCCGCGCGCCCTGCAGCGTGGGGTGCGGGCCGGCCCACTTCCACGCACGGCACAGCACGCAGCACACGGGGCGCGCGCCTCTGCCGGGACCGCCGTCGAGGGCCGGGGCAGGGACCCACCCAGGGACACGGGGCAGAGCGCCGGGCTCGGAGGACGCCCCCTCGGAGGGCGCGGAAGGCGGGGGTTCCTGGGGCGACGGCCTGAGGACGGGGTGCGGCCCGGGCACAGGCCCCGTGGCGGGAACAGGATGCCTCGGGTGAAGGTGGACGGGGGCCGGCCCGTGCCCCGCTGGGGGCAGGGGAGCAGGCGGGCCCCAGGGCCGGGCCCCCTTCCTGCGGGGCCCTCCCGCCCCGGCCTGGACGACCAGGGCCCTCTGCCCTGTGTCTGCAGCCCCTCCCCCGCCTCTCCTCTCCGCAGACAGGCTCCCTGGCCCCAGGGTATGGGGGGTGCACCCCCAGGCCTCGAGTCCCACAAGACCAGCTCTGGAGGCAGCTGGTCCCCTGGCCAGCGCCGGCCCTGCTCTGTCCTCTCCTCCCGCCCACCTCCCCTCCCCTCCCCAGCCACTGCAGCCCACCAGGACCACCGCCCTCTGGGCCCACCAGCGCCTCCTAGGGGCATCGACGCAGTCCCCGCCCAGGCTCGCGAGGCCCCACAGGCTTAGAGTCCCTGGGCGGAGTGTGTGACTCGTCCCCCTGCTCTGGGAGCCCAGTCCGGGCTGGGGCGGGGCTGCGGTGGGGGATCGGGGTTTGCCTGGTGGGTCAGCGACCCCTGCGCCCCGCTCACCCTGGGGCAGCGTCCGTCAGCTCCCGGGGCCACGTGTGGCCCCGTTCCCTGGCCGAGGCACCAGGGCCTCTTGCAGATGCTGCCCCGGAGGCGGGCCTGCCGGGAGGGGGGCGGGCGGGGCCCCTCATGCCGAGGTGGCTCCGAGGCGGGCCGGGCCCGCGCGCCCTCCTGACGCCCGCCTGTCCCCGCAGATACCTGGTGCTAGAACACGTGTCGGGTGGGGAGCTCTTTGACTACCTGGTCAAGAAGGGGAGGCTGACCCCCAAAGAGGCCCGAAAGTTCTTCCGGCAAATCATCTCGGCGCTGGACTTCTGCCACAGCCACTCCATATGGTGCGGGCCTGCCCCACGTGACGCACCCCACCTGCGGTGCCCCGCAGGCAGGCACTCCCTCCCCTCTTGACGCCCCTCTAGCGCCAGGAACCCTCCCCCACCGCTTTTCCGGGGGTCCTGGGAACGGGGCCCTTCAGACATAGAGACCCCGGTGGCGTGGGCCCCGAGCAGGTGCGGGGGCGCAGCGAGGGGGAGCACCCCGAGGAGGACGGCGCAGCCCGGCCGGGGCGGGGGGCAGCTCCCGCTGGTCTCGGACCCTCAGTCCTAGGCCCCGCAGCCAGCTCGCAGGCGGGCGACTTCCGATTGGCTGCCTGTGGCGTCACCGGGCTGGGCTGCCATTGGCCGGGTACTGGGGGGCGGGGCTTGAGGAAGGGACCCGGCCAGCCTCCTCCGCCTCCCTTCCAGCCACAGGGACCTGAAACCAGAAAACCTTCTGTTGGACGAGAAGAACAACATCCGGATCGCGGACTTCGGCATGGCGTCCCTGCAGGTGGGGGACAGCCTGCTGGAGACCAGCTGCGGGTGAGTGGCCGCCCCGGGCCGGCGGCGCCCCCTCCCGGCCGCGGGCGGCTCTGCGGGCGCTGCGCGCGGGCGGCTCGCCGCCGTGGCCCCGCGGAGGACCCGAGTGGCCTCGGTGGCAGGTGGCTCTGCAGCCCCAGCCCCGTTCCAGCACCCCACGGCCTGGGCTGTAGACAGGACCCCGCTCCCGGCGGTGGCTCCGATGTGCGGTGCGGTGCAGGTGACCCCCTCAGCGGCGGTGCTGAGGCGCGACTCCTGTTCACCCACTTGGTCCTTCCAAAGACGTCTGTTTCCCTCCTGAGTAGGGGATGGGGTGCCCGCAAGGGCCCTTTAGGCTTTTGGTGGGCCTTCCCAGGCGACGTGTGCCGGGGCAGCACCCCTTTTTCAGCGTCCACCCGCTGTGGGCCCGGGGCCGCCCCGAGCTCCTGGCTGGGTGGATATCGAGTCCCCAGCCTGTGCCCTGACCATTGCTTTTGCCTCCAGGTCCCCTCACTATGCCTGCCCCGAAGTGATCCGGGTAAGTAGTCACCGCGCGCACCAGACCCTGTCCGTCCCAGGGGCCGCCCCCCTCCCTGGCCCGGGCAGACCCGAGCCCCTCCGCCTGGGTCCCGCGTTCCGCGCGAAGCCAACCGCACCGCCCTCCGCAGGGCGAGAAGTACGACGGGCGCAAGGCGGACGTGTGGAGCTGCGGGGTGATCCTGTTCGCGCTGCTGGTGGTGAGCCCGCCCCGCCCGCGCCCCGGCCCCCGGGACTTCGCCCCGCCCCCGCCCCGCCCCGCCCCCTGCCCCCGCCCGCGGTGACGCCGTTCCCGGCCGGCAGGGGGCGCTGCCCTTCGACGACGACAACTTGCGGCAGCTGCTGGAGAAGGTGAAGCGGGGCGTGTTCCACATGCCGCACTTCATCCCGCCCGACTGCCAGAGCCTGCTGCGCGGCATGATCGAGGTGGACGCGGCGCGGCGCCTCACGGTGCGTGAGGGCGGAGAGGGTCGGGGGGTGCGGACCTGTACTGCCAGGCTGGGCTCCGGGGCCCCTCCGTGCAGGGAGGCCTGTGCCTGCGGGCGTGGTGCGGGGAGCCCTGAGCGTGCACAGGCGTGTGTGCCCTACACGTGTGTGAGGGCGCGCAGGGGCATGTGCACAGTGCCTGGCGTGTGTGGATACTTGGGTGTGTGCGCGTGCGCGTGCATACATAGGTTGGCATACAAGCGCACGTGTGTGCGCGCACACGGGTGTGTGCGTGTGCGTGAGAGTGCACGCAGTGGTGTTCGCACACGTGCACAGGTTCCGTGTGGGTGCGCACGCGTGAGTGCCTGCACAGCTGTGGCCACGTGCACACGTGTGTGTGCACATGCATGTGAGAACCGTTTGTGGGTGTGCGCCCATGCGTGAGTGCAGCGGTGTGTGCGTGTGTGTGCACACGGATGCGTGGGTGCACACCCGCATGGGAGCGCTGTGCACAGATGGGCGAGGGCGTGTGTGTGCTCAGGCGCGGGTGTGACTCGAGCATGGGGTGTGCCCCACACCTCCCCCGCCAGCCCCTCATGGGTACAGTGGGGACCCCCTGCCTGCGGGGGCGGGGATTCTGGGGGCAGCCCCGCTTCTGACAGAGCGCAGCCAGGGCTTAGCTGGTTCCGGGGTGCTCGGTCCCTGGGGCTAAGGCAGCAGGACCCCTGGGCCGGCCGCTCCCGGGCGAGGGCAGCGGAGCCCGAGGCCGCTTCTCCCCCCGCCCCACGCGCTGTCCGCTGGCGGGTGGAGAGGCCCTGGGTGGGGCCGCCCTCTGCTCTCCTGCCTCCGCCCCTGAGCCCCCGGGCAGCCTCCTGCCCCTGCCTGCAGCCCCCGCCGCCCCTGGCATTTCCTCTTCCGGGCGGCAGGCAGGGTCAGGGGCTGGCCTGGAGCCTCGGGGCGCGCAGCCCCTCCTGACGCTCCTGTGCCCCCACCCTCCTGCACCCGCCACCACCTTCCCTCCGTCTGCACCCTCCTCCTCCCTTCACCGCCCCCCCCCGTCGCCCTCCCGGCCCCCTCCCTCAGCGGGGCCCTCCCCTCCCCGCGTGCACCCCGCGCGCTCCCCACTGCGCTCTGGCTGGCCTCCTAACGTGGGCTCCCCGCTCCCTCCGTACTAACTCCTGTTTCTCTCTCTCGTAGCTTGAGCACATTCAGAAACACATATGGTACATGTAAGTAGCTCTTCCCGCCACCTCCCCACCTGCTTTGCCTGCTGCCGCGGCCCAGGGGGCCTGCTAGGGAAGGTGGGGGGACCCAGCCCAGGGCTCAGGGGCGCTGGGCACAGCGGGATGCAGGAGGCGTGCAGGAGCCGGGCAGAGAGAGCACAGCAGGTCTCAGAGCCCGGGAAGGGCGAGGGCCGCGGGAGGAGCCTCAGGCGGGTCGGTCAGTGACCACCAGGGCACCCTCTCGTCCACAGAGGGGGCAAGAACGAGCCTGAGCCAGAGCAGCCCATCCCCCGCAAGGTGCAGATCCGCTCGCTGCCCAGCCTGGAGGACATGGACCCCGACGTGCTGGACAGCATGCACTCGCTGGGCTGCTTCCGGGACCGCAACAAGCTGCTGCAGGACCTGCTGTCTGAGGAGTGCGTGCAATGGGCCTGGCGGGGGCCTGGCGGGGGGCGGCGGGGGGCGGCGGCCGCCAAGGGCTCACTGCACTTGCCCACCCTTCCTGGGGCCTCCCACTCCCTGCAGGGAGAACCAGGAGAAGATGATCTATTTCCTCCTTCTGGACCGGAAAGAAAGGTACCCCAGCCACGAGGACGAGGACCTGCCCCCCCGGAATGAAATAGGTACAAGGCCCCGGGGAGGCCTGGCCCCACGCCGCCCCCGCGAGGCTCAGGGCTGCCTGGCCTGACCCCCGTCTCGCGCAGACCCTCCCCGGAAGCGCGTGGACTCCCCGATGCTGAACCGGCACGGCAAGCGGCGGCCTGAACGCAAGTCCATGGAGGTGCTCAGCGTGACAGACGGTGGCTCCCCGGTGCCCGCGCGGAGGGCCATTGAGATGGCCCAGCACGGCCAGAGGTGCGTGTCTTCGGGGAGGACCCAGCGCCCTACCGGCTGGTGCCCTGGCCTGGTCAGCGGGGGCTGTGCTGGGCCTGACTCCCCTCTGTCCCCCGGCCCTGGGGCTGCCCTGGCCGTGCGGGGCTGGGCTGGGCAGGGCTCTGCTTTGTTGGCCTGGGCTGAGCTGGGTGGGGCTGAGCTGGGCTGGGCAGAGCTGGGCTGGACGGGGCTGGGCTGAGCTGGGCTGGACGGGGCTGGGCTGAGCTGGGCTGGGCAGAGCTGAGCTGAGCTGGGCTGAGCTGGGCTGGACTGGACTGAGCTGAGCTGGGTGAGGCGGGGCGGGGCGGGGCTGAGCTGTGCTGGGCTGGGCCAGGCTGAGGGGGCCTGAAGTGAGCTGGACTCTGTCAGGCTATGATTGGAGGGGCCACAGCCCAGGAGGCCTGTCCCCACTCCCCACTGGCCCCATGTCTGGGTCACCCCGAGGCTGTGCACGGGCAGGGAGGTGGAATTCGGGGGACGATGAGCAGACCCCCCGGGAGGCCAGGCGCCCTGGCCCCACCACTGACCTGGGGCTGGCCGGTGAGCCCTCGGCCCCTCCTCACCCTGGCATTCTTGCCCACATGGGGCTTCAGCCGACTGGGGAGCGCCGTGGGAGGTCCCCGCAGCCCGGCTGTCTCTCCTCAGCTGGGTGCTCAAATAGGCCAGGCCTCCCGCGAGGCATTCGCCAGCACGCAGGGGAACTGCAGGGCAGCCGGGCCACCATCAGGATTAAACTGTCCTGGGGTCCCCGTCCTCTGGGGCTTCTATCCAGGTCTCTGGGCAGCCGTGGCCCACCGCCCACGGGCCCCGGCCCTGGGCGGCGGGGGGGGCGGGGGCGGGCAGCGAGCAGCGAGGGGAGAGCAGGAGGAAGGTCCCTGCTGGCTGCACTTCTGCCCTGACCACGCTGCCTGCTTGCGGGGGGCACACTGCTGGCCCCCAGCGCCTCGCCCGGCCCCGGCCCCTGTCAGAGCCCCGCAGGGCTGGGTGCTGACTGGGCCTCCTCGCGCCGGCCACCTGCCCCCGCCCGCCCCACCTGCCTGGGCTTGGGCGCCCCCCTCGCCCCGGGGCTCCTGCTCTGCCGCCCGCCGGGCCGCCGTGGGTGCTGGGGTGGGGCTGCGGGAACCAGCCCCTGCCTCCCGGGCCTTCCCGCCCCGCAGCTCCTGACCGCCTGGCGGTCACACCGCGTGACACCGGGCCTCCTGCGGGGGCTGGCGGTGCTGCTGGGCGTCCCGCGAGGCCGGCCAGGCCACCCTGCCCCGAAGGTCCCCGGGCGTGCGCTGTGGCCCCGCTGCCCTCTGCCCAGCCCCCTGGCGTCCGTGCGCCCCGGCCCGGGGCCAGGCGGGCCTCCAGCCCGGAGCCGTGCGGAGGTCCGGCAGTAACTCTGTTTTCTCGCTTTGTTCCGCTATAGTAAAGCAATGTTCAGTAAAAGCCTGGATATCGCTGAAGCCCACCCCCAATTCAGCAAAGAAGACAGGTATACACCCTGCCCACCCGCCCCCGCCCCCCAGCCCCACAGGCGGTTCGGGCCTGGCGGCAGGGCTGGGCCTGAGGCGCGCCCGGCCCTCCCCCCTTCGGCAGGGGGGCTTCCCAGAAGCCAGGGGAAGGGCCGGGTCAGGCCCAGCTGAGGCCCAGGAGGAGCAGGCGGCCGGCGAGGGGCTGGGAGACCCGCTGTGCTCTCCCTGCCCCGGGCCCCCAGGGGCTGCGGGCGTGAGGCGCCCTCTGGCCCACCCTGGTGGCGGCCGGTGGTGGCCCAGGTTAGCCTCCCCCCGGCCCCCGTCCAGCGCTGGCGCCTGGGTCCTGGGGCCGCCCTGCTGCCCACTAGGGTCCCCAGTGGAAGTGACAGCGGAGGCAGCTCAGCGGTCCCGAGCCCCGCCCCGCTCCCGCGGGGCCCCGCCCCCGCCCCGCCCCCGGGCAGCTGCAGCTCAGTCTCCAGGGGCGGCCTGGCCGGCGGGAGGGCCCGACCAGCCACCGCCTCCCTCCCCTGCTGCTCTCCGCTTCCTTGAGCGAGGACAAGCTCGCGCGGGCTCGGCAGGAGGCCTCGGGTGCTGGGTCGCACGGTGGCTGCTGCCTGCCAGCCTGTGGCTGCTGGGGACTCCGGGGGGACCAGCCAGCCCCCGGCTCCGCGCTCAGCATCAGGGCTCTGGGCCCGGCTCTGAGCAGGCGGGCGGGGGCCGGGTCAGGAATGGGGCCCCAGGCCCTGCGCCTGCGGCAGGCGGGCTGCCGGCGGCGGCGGCGGCCTCGGGTCTGCGCGGCTCTGCTGCGCCCCCGGCCGGGGGCCGGGCGGGGCGGGGCGGGGGCAGTGCTGCGGGTCGCCGTCCCTCACTCTCCTGTCTACTCCTGGGCTGCATCAGCGCCCAGTCCCTTCTCCGTCCGCTGAGGACGGCAGGTGCAAGGCGGCCGCGGGCCCAGAGTCTGTCCCGAGGGGGCAGCTGCGTGCCTGCCCCAGCCGGCCACACAGCAACCGCAGTCTCCCTCCGGCTGCGCCCAGGCCATGTCTGCGGCCCCATGCGGCCCGCGGTGGGGAAGGCCCACAGCCCCGGCCGGGGCCCGTGGGGCGACGGGGGGCGGGCCGAGGGCTGGCCTGCTGCGGGCTGCCCTGGGCCGGGCGGGCAGGCCCTGGCCTCGCAGGGGCCTGGGCCCGGCTGGGAGCGCTGGGCTGGCTCGGTCTGGGGTCAGGCCGGGCTCAGGGCTGCTGGGAGTGGGGGGCGGGCCCGGCACAGGGGCTGCACTTGGTTCCCAGGAAGCCGCAGGCTCCCTCGTCCCTCGGTCCACTTGAGCCCTCGGCCAGGCCCGGGCAGGGGGCCCGCTTCCGGCCTGGGCTTCAGGCCTTGGGCGCGCAGCTCCCGCATGGTGTGCGGGAGCCCCGAGGCCGCCCCCTGGGGCTCTGGCGGGCTCCCCAGGGCCTACAGAGGGGTGGGTGAGGCAGCAGGCCAGCCCCAGGCACGGCCAGGCGGGCACCGGGCCTCCTGGATGGTCCACCTGGGGAGGAGCCGCTGCGAGCCCGCGGCCCGTCCCCGGCTGAGCCCCGCCCCGCGCCTCTGTCCTCAGGTCCAGGTCCATCAGCGGCGCCTCCTCCGGCCTCTCCACCAGCCCCCTCAGCAGCCCCCGGGTGAGTGAGCCGCCTGCCTGCCCGGCTCCCCAGCGGGAAGGCGCCCGGGAGGGGGCCCAGCGGCCGCCCCGCCGGCCAGCCGGCCGTGGGGCGCGCGGTGCTGCTGCTCTGCGGGCCCGGCTGCTCTCGCTAACTGCACGTTCTTTGTTTTGTTCTGTGTGTTTTCTCGTGTGTCGCTCGTTTTCTTTGGTGGCAAACGCTCCCCCACCCGCCTGCGCCCGCTGGTCCTCCCGGTGCTGTGTGTGCATGCGGGGGCGGGCGGGCCGATCGCGTGGCGGGCCCCGCGCCCCACTCCCCGCCCCCCCGTGCGGCCCTGTAGCCCGTCAGGAAGTTCGCGCTGCCCCCCCCACCCCCCGAGCCCCCCTTCGCGGCCCGCGCCCCGGCCGCGGAGCCTGAAACCTCTCGGGGCGCCTCTCGGCCTGGACACGTCCGCCCTCCACAGGCCGCCCCGCGGCCCAACCCCAAGACCCAGACCTTGCCGAGCAAGGCCAAGATGACCGACAAGCCTCTGCAGGGCACCAAGTCCAACCCGCTGCCGGCCGGCACCCAGGCCCGGCACCCTGCCCCCCGCGGCCTTGGCGCCGCCCTGGCCCTGCCCCCGGGGCTGGGCGGCCTGCCTGCCCCGCCCCGGCTCCCGCCCGCTGGGACTGAACCGAACACTAAATCTGTCCCCACCATACAGGTGACCCCTCACCCCTCTCCAAGGGGCAGTCCCCTCCCCACCCCCAAGGGGACGCCTGTGCACACGCCCAAGGAGAGCCCAGCGGGCACGCCCAACCCCACGCCGCCGTCCAGCCCCAGCGTCGGAGGCGTGCCCTGGAGAACGCGGCTCAACTCCATCAAGAACAGCTTCCTGGGGTCGCCTCGTTTCCACCGCCGGAAACTGCAAGGTGAGCTTGGGGGCGGGCGGGGCTCCCCTGCCGGAGGCTCTGGATGGTGGCCATGTCCGCTGGGCCAGCATGGGCCGGGCGGCACCCCCAGGTGTCCGCTGTCCTCCACTTGCGCAACCCGCCTGCCTCAGGATCCATCCTGGGCCCCCAGCTCCTTCTCAGCCCTCAGCCCAGCCGCCGCCTCGGGACGGGCTGCCTGAGGCCCAGGGAAGGGAGTGGGCGCTGCGGGCCGGCGGGCACAGCCTGCCCATCCCGGCCCACGCCGGTCCCCGGGGCCTGCCGGCTGCTGGGGTGGGGGCCAGAGTGGGCAGCGCATGGTTTCAGCCCCGGGGGTCTGGACAGCGGCCCGAGGCCCCCGAGAATGCGGCCGGGAAGGGGGCGGGGCTGGCCTGTGCCCTGGGCGCCCGCGGTCCGGTCCGGGGGTGGGGCGCTCGTCGGATGCCTGTGGGGGGTGGGCGGGCGGTCACCACACCTTCTCGTCCTGTTTCCCCCGAGTGCAGTTCCGACGCCAGAGGAGATGTCCAACCTGACCCCGGAGTCGTCCCCAGAGTAAGTGGCCCTGCCTGAGGTCGCAGCAGCCGCCACCCTCCCCGCCGGCGTGGGGACGCCAAGTGTGCAGGGGAGGCCGTAGGGGCGCCCTGCGAGGCTGGCCGGGAGGCCCTGGGAGGGCACCGCAGCTCCGCCCCGTCCTTCCCCCTCTGCGGCCCCTGCGGCCGCCGGTCCCTCCTCTCCAGCCCACGCGTCTCCGAGTCTCCTGTGCCGAGGACACCAGGCGGGGAGCAGCCTGGGTGGCGGGGGAGCCCTGCTGGGGACAGTTCAGCCTGCTCAGAACCCACAGCCTGTGCTGGCTGGAGGCAGGGACGCCCAGGCGTGCCTTGCAGGGGCCACGGCCCTCCCGCTGAGCGCACCTGCACACGCAGGAGCCTGCGAGGCCCGGCTCGCTCACCTCCGCAGCGGCAGCCTCCGCCCTGGACACGCGGGTGCCTGGGGTGCGGCCGCAGAGGTGTCCCCGGGGTGGGGAGTGCGCTGGGTAGAGTCCGGGAGGTGGCCAGTTGTGTGGGGTCACATGGGCGGAGGGTCTCAAGGTGAAAACACGGTGCTGTCCAAGGAGGAGGAGGGGCGCCAGCAACGACGCCGGAGCATGCGTGTGGAGGCGTGTGTGGAGGGGTGGCCTTGACCAAGGCGGGAGGCAGAGCCAGCCTTCAGATCGCCGTCCCGGGAGAGGACGCGGGAGCCACGGTTGGGGGGAGGCAGGGCCTGGGCACGGGGTTGCGCCTCCCGCGGTGTCTGCGGCCAAGGCCCAGGAGAGACCCGCCCTTGCCGGCTCTCCGCCGCCCGGACACGGGACAGGGCCGGGGGGCTGCCGGGGCCGCGGCCCTGACCCCACGTGGGCAGCGAGGGCTGTTGAGCCAGCCATCTGCGGACGAGAGGTCTCGCCGTGCCGCGTGCTGGAGTGAAGCGGGGACCCCAGCCCTGGACAGGCGGGCGCCTCTGGGGCCCCCGGGCTGTGGTGTGGGCGCGGGCGGCAGGCTCTGCCGTCCTAGGGGGCGCGCCTTCGGCCGCGGGTCCTGCCGGCAGGAGAGGCTTTCCCGAGTGTGCTTGCAGCGCCACCGCTGGACTTTTCGGGGAAGTTACGAAGCTGCGCCGTGGCCTGCTGTGGCCGGCAGCCCCTCCTTCCCATCGAGTCCTGGCGGGGCCGCCCCTGCCCAGAGCCTGGGGCAGCAAGCTCGTGCGGCGGCCCCGGCGCCTCCTCCCAGGAGCACAGGACAGGTTCCTGGGCCCACAGCGTCCCTCCTGCGGCCGCCAGGAGCCCTGCGTCAGTCGGGGTCCCCGGGAAAACGAGGACGGAGCGGGTACAGGTGCCTGCTGGCGGGCCTAGGCTGGCCCCGGCAGCTGGGAGTCGAGGTTGGCCGCCACGCAGGCTGGCAGGTGGGGACCTCGGGCAGCTTTCTGCGCCGCCGCCTTGTGAAAGATCCCTTCTCCTTGGAGAACCTCCACCCTCGCTCTTGAGGCCAGCGACAGACCGGACAAGGCCCGCCGATGGCCATTTCCTGCTCTGCCCAGACTCGCTGACCACCACACCGACAGAACGTCTTTAACAAGCAACACACAACGTTGGAGCTCACAGGCCAGGGCGGCACTGGGCCTTCGCAGGCCTGCCCCTCACGCCCGCCACCGGCCTTTCTGGCTCAGCCCAGCTGTTGCAGACACGGGACTGGACGCCAGGCCACTGGGGCGAGAAGTTAGTTTTCACCTTCCGCCTTCAAGGGAGGAGCAGGCGGGGCCCCAGCTGTGGCTCCCGGCCCCGCGCGGTCCTGGTGGTACTCGGCAGCCCGGCCGGGAGCCCTTGCTCATGGACATGGCAGGCGGCCAGGGAGTCAGCAGAGGCGGGGAAGGAGGAGGAGGTGACCGAGTGGCAGCGTGAGGTCTGCAGTGATGTCTCTGTGTCTTCGGATTCCTGGCCAGGCTGACGAGAGGACAGGCGCTTCGTTGGCAGGCGGGCTGCTCACTGCCACGGCGGCCGGGGAGCAGCTCCGGAAGGGGGCGGGGAAAGGGGTGGCGTCGCGCAGCCTGGAGGCCCGCCTGGCGCACCCCAGGGCAGCGCAGAGCCGCGGGGCGCGGTGCTGGGCCCGGCTGCCGCTGCCTGTCCTGGCTCCAGCCGATGGGCGGCGCCCTGGTCGTGTGCCTGCACCGCAGCTGCAAGGGAGGCAGCCAGAAGGCAGCGGGGCGTGTCCGTCAGCGATGGGTGGTTGCTGCGTGAGGAACGGCTCCAGCCCTGCGCCACAGAAAACGGCGCACGCTCACCCTCTCATCTCCGTGGTTGGCTGGGTACTGCTCCAGGGAGGGCATGGCATGGCGATCCCGCCGGCCCAGGAGCAGGACCCGCCCCGGGCACAATCCGGGCCTGCGTGGGCCTCCCACCCATCCGTCTGGCTCCCCCGGAAGGCGGGACACCAGAGAGCAAGAGGGGCGTCACGGCCTTTGTGAGCAGATCTTGGAGGTGGTGTCCACTTTCCCCACGTTCTGGTCAGACATCCGTCGCTGGCCCTGCCCACGCCCCAGAAGGGAGGCGCCAGCGGGAGCCAGGACGCAGGGTGGCGGGCGGGGTCGGTCCCACGCTGTGTGCACTGTCGTGGGGGAGGGCTCCACCTCCAAGGCGCGGCCCTGAACACAGGACGCAGTGACAGGGTCGGCGTGATGGCCAAGCACAAGCCCTAGGCACGGCGGTGTGGGGGCCGCACTGGAGGGGCCACCAGCGCGGGGCTCTGGGTGCCGCCTGGGGCTCTGGGTGCCCGGCAGCGGGGCCCCTGGGTTTGGAGCGACCTCCAAGCCCCGCAGAGAGGTCTGAGCTGGGGCGGCGGGGAGGCGGGCAGCGGGGCGGCCACGGGCCCTGAGGGTGGCCCGGGGGCTCCTCCACGCCACGTCTCGGCCACGCATCCCTGCCCCCTTCAGGCCTGCGGGGGGCGCTGTCCTCAGGGTGGCGGCGGGACTGCCCTGCAGCACATCCCCCGACGGTGGCGACCTGCCAGGCAGGCGCGAGGCTGGGGGCCAGGGTGCGCGCCGTTCCTTCCTGGTGGCGTTCCTGTGGGCGCTGTCTGGGCCCAGGGCTGCAGGTCAGCTGTGGGGCTGCAGGGCCGAGGCCAGAGCGGGGAGCGGGGCTCAGGGTCAGCGCTCGGGGCAGAGGAATTGGGGATGATGCGGGTGGGGCGAGGACGAGGGGTCCGGGTGAGGGCGTCGGGGCCTGGAGGGGGGTCAGGATGAGGGGTCGGGGTTGGGGTGGCCGGCGTGAGCAGCCCCCTGCGCCACCCCCAGGCTGGCCAAGAAGTCCTGGTTCGGGAACTTCATCAGCCTGGAGAAGGAGGAGCAGATTTTCGTGGTCATCAAGGACAAGCCCCTGAGCTCCATCAAGGCTGACATCGTCCACGCCTTCCTGTCGGTGAGCTGGGCGCCCACCGAGGGGAGGGGCCCACCCCTCAGGGACAGGTCCCGCCCCCTGCAGGCCCCCGGAGGGCCAGGCTCGTTCCCAAGGAGCCGGGGTGCGGACCGGGCGGGTGGGGGGTGGGAGACAGGTGCCACGAACAGGCCCCACCAGGGGCTGGGGTAGGAGGGGCCCTGGGGACAGGGATGGGTCTGGGGGGCGGTGGCCCCTCCCCAAGACCGGGGCTGACGGGCAGGCGGCCTCTGCAGAGAGGAGCCCGCCAGGTCCCGTGGCTGCGCCCGAGGCTTCGGGGACGGTCCCCAAGGGCCCGTGTCTCCAGGGAGCCCTCCGCCTGCCCCCACAGCGGCTGGGTGTGCCCCCGGCCCCCCAAGGCCTGGTAGTTCTGAGGGGGCCGGGGCCTCCGTCTTTGCGGCCCGGGTGGCGGCACGGAAGGCCCTGCAGCCTTGCTCTCGGGGTCCCGCCAGGGGACACCTGCCTGTGTGGGCGCCCAGCGGCTGCAGCCCAGGCCTGAGGACCCGCCGCCTTCCGGGCGGGAGGGCTGCGGGGTGGTTTCTCTAACAGGGTCAGTCTCGGCTACCTGCTGCCCTGGCGGCTGCCCCGGTCCCCTGGGGGCCGTGAGGACAGCCTGGACCTACAACCGGGTCCTCGGGCGCCCAGAGAGCCCAGCACCAGGCGGGGGGGCCAGCCTCGCACCAGATGCAGGCACCCAGCCCCTTTGGGTCCCCTGCACCCTGCTGTCTTCCCCGGGGCCCAGGGACCGGGGCCCAGGCCTCTGTCCGCCCCCCAGGCCCCTCCCTGTGCTCCGGGGACACCAAGAATCCTTCCCCCATGTGACAGGGACTCAGCCACGGCCCCCTTCTGCTGCCCAGCACAGGCTGGCCCTTCCAAGCTCAAGTGCTGTGCGCTCCTGGGGGCAGAGCCCTATCCGGGGAGTTGCCGGGAGACAAGACTGCCCGCCCGGTCGCTGAGACCATTCCCTGTGGGGCCGTAGAGTCTGGTGTGCAGAGGGGGCCCCGGCCCCCGTCCTCGGGCTGCTCGGGGGTCTCAGTTGGACCCCCGTGGGCTCTGCGGCCTCCCAGCAAGGTGGGCCCCGCGGGTGGGCCGGGCGGGGCTGCCCGCGAGCCAGGCCACCTCACGCTGAGCCGCTGCCCTGCAGATCCCCAGCCTCGGCCACAGCGTCGTCTCCCAGACCAGCTTCCGGGCCGAGTACAAGGCGACAGGCGGCCCGGCCGTCTTCCAGAAGCCGGTCAAGTTCCAGGTGGACATCACCTACACCGAGGGCGGGGCGGCGCACAAGGACAACGGCATCTACTCCGTCACGTTCACGCTCCTGTCAGGTGAGCGGCCGGGCCGCGGGCCGGGGCGCCGGCCGCCCCGCCTCGGCTCACCTGCTGTCTCCCCCAGGCCCGAGCCGCCGCTTCAAGAGGGTTGTGGAGACCATTCAGACGCAGCTCCTGGGCACGCACGACCAGCCCACCGCCCAGCACCTGTCAGGTGAGGCGGGGGCTCGGCTCCGGCCGCCCCGGGCCGGCCGGCGCACGGCCCCTCCCCGACCCGAGTGCTGCCCCCAGGGGCAGGGCCCCCTTCATGCCGCGGGCCAGCCCGCGTCTGTGCGCCCAGGGAGGTAGTGCCTGGCGCACCGCACTGAAAGGCGCCTCTTGTCCACCGTAGAACCCCCCCCGCCAGCGCCAGGACTAAGCTGGGGTGCTGGGCTTAAAGGCCAGAAGGTGGCCACCAGCTACGAGAGTAGCCTCTGACGCTGGCAGGTAAGGTGTCCGGCCCCGCTGCTGGGGCGGGGTGGGGGCTGCGGCCAGGCCTCTGGCGAGCGCCGGGCTGGCCCCAAGAAGGGCACCCCGTGCCCCCGCCCACGGCCAGCGGCCAGCTCCTGGCCCCGGGCAGGCCACGCAGGCCCCGACCCAGGCAGAGTCGCCGGACACAGGGTGGGCTCCGGGGGAGCCCTGGCCCCGCGGGGCCACCCATGCCGCGCCCTGCAAGGGCTGCGTCCCTGGTGCCCGCGGCAGCGGGCACACAGTGGGACTGTTTGCCATCCACCCCCGCCCCCACCCTGGGGACAGGCCGATGACTGGCGGCCTTGAGCGGGACAGAGGCGGACGGAAGTCCTGGCGAAGCAGGGGCTCCCTAGCTGGGCCTAGAGAAGCCACATGGGAAAAGGGGCTGCCCAGGCCTGGCGGTGCCGGGGCCTGGAGCCGGGGGTGTGGGCGAGCCCGTGGCGGGCGCCTGCACAGGCCGCTGTCTGTCAGGGAGGGTGGGTGGCGCTGTCTGCACGGCCCCGAGGCACAGCGATGCCCTGAGGCCTGTTTTGAGGTTTGGGGTCCGGGGAGCTCGGCGCCCGGCCCACGTCCTGCCTCCCGGTGGCCCGGGGCGGCCCTGCCCACTCCCGCCGGGGCCCCCCGCGTTTCTGTGGCGGGTCCTGAAGGCCCGGCCAGCCTGCACCTCCTCCCTGCCCTGCCATCCTTGTCCCATCGTCTGTCTCGCCGGCCCCCGGGTGCCCGGCCCTCGCCGCAGGGTGCGGCGCCTCCCCGGGCTGCTGCGGGGGCAGGGAGCAGGCAGGCCAGTCTCCGTGCCGAGCTGCGTGGAGCTCACGGGGAAGCTGAGGCCGGGGAGGCCAGGGCCTGCCTGGGGCAGGGGGCAGGCCGGAGCCCGCCTGCTGCCCGGGACGCCTCTGCCCGCGGCTGCCCTGACACGGGGCCTCGGCGGCCCCGACCCCGGCCGCTGTGCCCGAACCCACGTCCTTGGAGACCCCGGGGTGCCCACGTTGGGCACCTGCCCTCCCCCCGGCCCTGTCAGCGAGTCCTGTGCTGGGGCGCCCCCAGGGAACCCACGCCCGCCCCCTCCCACCTCAGAGGCTCTTGTCCACGGAGCTCGGTCCCGGAGCCGCCATTGAGGTGGAGGAGGGACCGCCACCTACTAGGCCAGGAGGCCGGGTGCCACGCTGCTTGGCCTGGCGAGGGCCCTGGGCCTCCCCACGCTGGCCCTCCGCCAGGGCTGCACCCCCAGGCCGGGCAGCAGGCAGGAGCGGGCCATGGAAGGGCCTTGCACGCTGCTGGGGAGGACACGTGGTGGCCAGTGTTACCACGGCCGGAGGCCTGGGCTCCTCAGCCCCGAGCCTGTGTCCTGGACCCAGGGCAGGACGGCCCAGGCACCCAACACCCTGCACCCCGCGCGCCCAAGCCCCGCCCCTCCGGCCCCGCCCGCCCCAGGGCCTGGCCAGCCCGGCGCCCACTGTGTCCCGCGGGAAGCCTTTTTCACACGTCTCCCCCTCTCTCCGTTCTGTGCTCCAGACCCCACTAACTGTGTGGATGTGACGGCGGGGAGGCTTCCCACATGTGGTAAGAACCCGCACGTCCCGGGCCCAGCCTGCCGCCCCGCCTGCGCCTGCCCCCGCCGGGTGCCCCGCCGCCCCGGGGCTGTCCTGGGGTCTCTGGACACACAGCTCGCCCGGCCACCCGCCTCTGCCTGGAGCGGCCTGCCACCCACCCCCAGGGCGGCCGCAGGGCCCTGAGGCCGGGAGGGTTGCCTGTGCGGGCCGGGCCCAGGCGGCCTCAGGCCCCACGTCCCCCGCAGGGGAGAGGGGCGCTCCCGCGGCCCGCGAGCTCCCTGGCCAGGCGGGCCTCCCCGCCCCGCCAGCAACGGCAGGGAGAGCGGCCCCCAGCTCGGAGCACAGGGAGGACTCGGGCACAGGGACGAGCGCAAGGGGCCTGGCCGGGGCCCTGGAGGGCGGGCGCCGGCCGCTCCCGGCCTCGGGACATTCCCACCGTGGCTGCCTGCCCCGGGCCCCCCACACCCACTGCCCGTGCCCGTCCACCCGCCCGCCCGTCCGTCTGTCCGCTGCGTCCACCCTGCGCAGCCTGGGCTGGCCGGGCGCAGGGGACGGCGGGCCCATGGCCTCGTGCAGAGAGCCAACGGCCGGCCCCAGGGCCCTGCCCGGCCCTGTCCTCACGGCTCCGTCTTCAGAGCGGGCCAGCCAGCCAGGCCACGGGCTGCGGAGGGGAGCCCAAGTGGTGTCTGAGTCGGGGTGGCCGGGCCCGGCCGGCGCGGGGGAGGGGCCGCGCTGCCCGCCCTGGGCTCCCGCCCGCAGCCCGGAGGCCCACAGGTCCCATCTCAGTCCCCAAAACCAACCGCCCTGCCTGCCCCCACGCAGAGGCCCCGCCCTGCCGGCCGCCTGCCCGCCCGCTTGCTGCCGCCTGTCCCGCCCCCACGCCGCCGACCTCGCCGCCCTGGGCTGCTCTCTCTCCACCAAGGCCCTTCTGTTCATTTGTCTGTTTGTTCTCTTTCTCTCTCCTTCCCTTTCTCTTTCTCGCCCCCTTTTTTTTTCTTTTCCCTTTTCTTTTTTTCTTTTGTCTTCTGTTCTGTGTACCCAGGCAGCCCATTGAGTAACTTCTTTGACGTAATTAAACAACTTTTTTCAGACGAGAAGAACGGGCAGGCGGCCCCGGCCCCCAGCGCGCCCGCCCAGCGGAGGGCCCACAGCCCGCTCGGTGACTCGGCGGCCACTGGCCCCGGCCCTGGAGGGGACGCTGAGCACCCAACGGGCAAGGACACGGCCAGGATGGGGCCCCCCGCCGCCCGCCGCGAGCAGCCTTAGACACATAGCCCCCCCACCCCCAGCAAGGCCCTGACAGTGGCCGCCCAGGCCGCCGTGCCGCCGGCCCGCCGCCCGCTCCGCGTGGACCCGGGGCCACGCCCGCCCGCCCAGCTAGACTGTGTTCAGCCAGGGAGGCCAGGAAGGGGCGGCGGGGCCCGCGTGCCGCGCGCTCTCTCGCTGTCCCTCTGTCTGCCCGTCTCTGACAACGTCACTGTTTCCACTCTGATACCAGGAATTATCCCGAAAAGTTAACATGTCAACCTCCACGAGGCCGTCCTCTGGGCTCCGCGCTGGACACCGGCCGACAGAAGGCCGCTGCGTGCACCTGCCCCTCCGCGCCCGCCGCTGCTCCGCCCACCCGCCCGCCGTGCGGCGCTCTGCCGGGCTCCGCTCCGCATGGCCAATGGGGAGGAGGACCTGGCTCCCGGGGAAGCCGCTCCAGCCCCACCGACCGGACGCACAGGGACGGGGCCCTGGCAGGTCCCGCCTGCCCGCCCGGCCGCCTCCAGCACGGGGCCGCGTGGGCGAAGCAGCCGCAAGGCGGGCGGGCCGGTGCTCGCAGCCTCTCCCGGCCCCCGCCTCCCCGCAGCACCCCCTCCGTCCGCTGCCACCTTGCGCCCGCCCCGCTGCCTGGGGCCCCCCTCCGCTCGGCTCCACGGCGGCAGGGTGCTCTCGGCCGGCCCTGCGTCCGGCCCGCGTGGAACTGGACTGGAGGCGGCGGGCCGGCCGGGGAGATCAGTGTTATTTATTTGCTACTTTAATTTATTGCGTTTCTTTACTTCTCTGTTCAGGGAAGGGGCAGCAGCAGCACCCTCCTGCCCTCCGTCCGTCCGTCCGTCCGTCCCTGGCAGGGTGGGTCTGGGGCCCAGGCGCCCCGAGGACGGAGCCGTCGGGGCGCCAGGGGCAGGCTGGTGGGTGCCACACCGGCGAGCTACTGTAAACTCTAAAGAATTCCTGCAAGATATTTTTATAAACTTTTTTCTTGGTTGTTTTTGGAAAAGGGTGTGGGGGAGGGGGAGCCGCTGGGCAGGGCTAGGTTTTGTGTTCGGTTCTTGCTCTTGGTTCTTTCTATACACACATATATATATTTAAAGAACGGCGCGGTCCACGCGGTCTGCTCGTCTGCCCTGGGTAGGAGCAGCCCCAGTCCTATGGGCCCCGCCGCCCGGGGCCCCTGCGCCCGGCCCGGGGGGGACCCCCTGGGCTCCGTGTCCGAGGCTGGGCAGGAGGGAGGCCCTGAGCTGGCCCCCAGCCACTCACAGGGCGGCAGGGGCACCGCAGGGTTTTGTATTAAAATGACAAAAAGTGAAAAAAAAAACCATAAGCAAGGACAGAAAGTCGGCGGGTCCTCTGCGGCATGTTTTCTGCACACGGCCAGGGCGCGGGTGCGGCTGCCTCGCTTTGTCCCCGCCCCCAGCTCCTGCTCGTGCCCCGCCCCCGGCACACAGGCCCGCGGGTGCGGGCGCCGGGCCGCTGAGGGGGCGCAGGTTCTGATTGCATGCCGCCGCGTGACGGGCCGCTTCGCTCTGGTGCCTCCCGCCGCCCGCCCGCCCGCCCGCCGGTCCTGGAGATTTTAACGCTACCATCACACGGACCCCCCGCCACAGGCTGGGACTTCCATCCGTAAGAAAAATTAAACACCTATCACAGCAAAAGCCACACGGTACCAGCGGGAGGGGCTGCTCAGAGGCAGAGGACACCGAAAGCAATATCTCTTGTCAGCCTTCCTCTTTTGTACTTGGACACACGCAGACGTCATGGAAATGGACAAGCCCCACCCTGTGTACCCCTGTCAAATAACTGTGAGCAACTTAGTTCCGGAACAATAAATTCCTTCCGTAAAGACACCGACGCCAGTGTCCGTGCGGGCGGGCGGGGCGGCGACGTGGGACACCCTGGGGTCCACTCTTGTCCCCGCCACGTGCTCCTCTGGGCTCTGCCTCCACTGAGGACGGACGCCAGTGCGGGGGTCGCGGTGTCCCCACGGACCTCCCCAGCCTGAGCTGTGGAGACACGCTGGGCCAGGCTGGCCTGGGAGCAGAGGCCCAGGCCACGGGGAAGCGTCGCCCCTGCTGGACCGCGGCCACTCCGCTGCCACCCCAGGAACACAGGGTGTCGCCCCGGCTCCTTCCTGAAGGGGGAACCTTCCTTTCTGTCCCTTTGTGGGAAAAGGCGGATGGAGCGCCGCAGCCTGCTGGGAGCGACGGGCCTTCTTTCCGAGCGTGGGCGGGCCCCGCTGTGCCCGCCGCCGGCCAGGCAGGGACCCGGGAACCTTGGCCACAACCCCACTGGCCGCCCCCCACCCCCGGCTGCTGCAGCGCTAAGGGCCGGCCCGCCCTGCCGGGAGGGCAGTGGCAGAGGACCCCCACACAGCCCGGGGACCGTGGGGAGCGCGCCCCAGACAAGGAGTCCAAGCAGAGGCCACGCCGCCCTCGGGGCACCCAGCCCACGCACTGCCCACACGGGAGGGTCAGGCGAGCCCGGCCAGGGCCCTGGCATGGCCGCACAGCTGCCCTGGGCGGCCCTCCGTGTGGCGTCCTGTGTCTCGGGCATGTCAGCATGGTCCCCGGTCCCCCACTCCGGCGTGGCCATCAGACCCGTTCCCGGGCATCGCGGCAAGCCCCTGGGGCGGTGGCCCCGGCCCAGCCCGGCCCGCAGCTCCTGCCCGAGTGCGCCTGCTCACCTGGCTTCGCGGGGAGCCCGCTGGCGCTGCAGGGGCCCGGGAAGCCTTCTGGAGAGCGCGGGGGGCGGGGGCGGGGGGTGCCGGGACGCAGGTGAGTGCCGCACGGCCCGGGGCCTGCGGCTGCGACCCTGCTGGCGGCCCGCGCCACCGGCCACACAGCGGCGCCCTGGCCGCGGTCGGGCTCCGCCTCACCGGGGGAGCGGTGGGCACGCCAGGCTCCTCGTCCTTACCTGGGCCTCTGGGCCCTGGCGGTCCCACGTGCCGGCCTCAGCCAGCGCAGGACGGGCACCCACGGAGGAACCACCACAGCCGGACAGGCCGGCTGCCTGCCGCCGGCCGCCGGCCGCCCGCCCCCCGCCCCGCCCCCGGGCAGGGCCTCGTCCCCAGCCCACCCCTGACCCCAAGCTGCTCTCTGGGCTCTCAGTGGCAGATAACCGCCCCCAAACTGTGAGCGTTAACACCGATACAAAACTAAAAACACCGAAATAAAAAAGCAACACCGGGAATGACTCGGCGCCAGACGCTCCTGCGGGCAGTCGCACTGAGCACAGAGCCAGCAGGGCTCTGCGGGTGCCGGGAAGGCAGCGTGAGGGGCCAAGAGGGCTTGGCGAGGGGGCCTCCCGGGCCCAGCTCTCGGGCAGCCGTGCGCGGGCGCCCTGCTGGGCCGGCGGCCAGGGCCACAGCGGCTGCGCTCTCCCCCCAGGGCAATCGTGGGGAGGGGAGAGAGGGCAGCAGGGGCTCCCTGCCCCAGGCAGGGCTGCCCCACCGTGGCCGCGTCCTCAGTGGTCCTGTCCTCAGAGGCCGCCCTGGGTGCAGCGAGGCCTCAGGACCCGGAGCAGGAGGGGCGCCTCCAGGTCCTGCAGGCCGGCCCCAGGGAGGGGCGCTGCGGCTGTGCCCACACTGCGGGCTGCCCCTGCGGGGGCCTGGCCCTGCTGTTCCTGGGGCTCAGGGCCCCCTTCCCTTGCTGTCGCCCCAGGCCACCGGGAGCTGAATCGCCAGGTCCGGTGTCCCCTTCATGGACTTCTTCCCTCGCCCCTTCCCAGGTCCCACCCTCCCCGCCAGCAGTAGGTGGGCTCAGCCAGGGGCGGAGGTCAGCAGGGTGCAGAGGGTGGCCAGTGGTGACCTTTAGGGACCGAGGCAGCCAGGACTGACCGATGTGGACGCCAACGCTGGCCCTGGGCTTAGGCAGGACTGTGGAGTCCAGGCCGCACATCCCGGCCCAAGGGCTGCTGCGCACGGCCCGCACGGCCCTGGGGTCCAGCCCGGGGCTGGTCACCGCGTGGGTCGCTCCCCCAGCACCCCCACCGCGCCCCCGCGAGCCCTGGGGCCGTCCTGCAGCTGCCAGTCCTGCGGCTCCGCCAACACCAGCGCACATCCGTCCGTGTCCTGGGCCCGAGCCGCGTCTCGTGAGCCGAGTCTCGTGGGCCAGTCAGCGGGGCAGGGCGGGTCCTTCCGGAGGCTCCGGGGGCGAGCCCACTGCCTCGCGTTTCCCAGCCTCCAGGCGGCCCACCCAGCTGTGCCGCAGGCACCGTCCTCCGCCTTCCCCGCCTGCGTCCCGGCGCTGCCGCCCGCGAGCCCCTCGCCCCGTCGGGGGGACCACACTGGGCCCAGACACTTGCCCGCCTCGAGTTCAGCTGACGGGCAGCCCGCGTTCCGCCTGCAACCTGAACCCCCCCGTGTGGTGACATTCGCAAGTGACGTGGGGAAGGGTGGTGCCGTCCAGCTCACACACACCGTCCCCCGGCAAGCTTCCCCTTGCCGCGCCCCAAGGTCCCCAAGGGCCCCAAGGTCCCCAAGGGCCCCAAGCTGCGGCCCGTCGCAGTGGCATGCCCACCCCACACCTCACGGAGATGCCCGGTCAGGCAGGGGCGAGGCAGAGCGCGTGGCCCACGCCGGCACGGGGCTCCCCTCCCCCCAACAGGGGCCTCTGACAGGAGCCACGGCACCTGCTTCTGCAGCCAAGACAGGACAGGCCCCGGACGCCAGCCGTGGGCGTGCCACCCACAGAGGGAGGAGTGGATAAAGGGGACGGCCAGGCCCCGGCAGCGTCCCAGTCCAGCGGGGTGGGCCAGGCGCTCGGCTGCAGATCTGGGAGACCAGGGGCGGCGGGCAGCTGCTTGGCCCGAGCTCGCCTTTTCCGGAGGGCCCTGCGGGGCCGGCTGGGGGGCTGCATTAACCTCTCAGCCTCCCCCCGGGGCGGGGGCTGCAGGCGCTGCTGACGTGCAGCCCGGACGGACAGGAGTGGAGCCCTGCCCTGCTCCCCGGGGGCCCTGGCCAGGCAGGGACCGAGACGCACGTCCCAGGGATGTGGCCCTGGACTCCAAGGGGCAGGGCAGGGCCGAGGAGCCTCCGTGCCGGACAATGGCATTTTTCAGGGGCTCCAATCATGAGCACACCAGCAGGACACAGGGGGAACCTTCTGGAACGACTCTGACGTCCACCCTCAGAGAGTCAGCGGGGCTGGGGCTTCAAGCCCCAGGAGCTGCACAGGCGCCCCGGCTGACCGCGGGGACGGCCCGCGGGGACGGCGCTCTGGGGCCAGCGGGGGAGGCAGGAGCCAGGCGGTGAAGACGGGGCACCCAAGGGCGTGCTGTTTTGCACGGAACCCCAGCGCTGCCAGGAGGGCGCAGCTCTTGGGGCAGGCGGGGGCTGCTGATGGTGCCGGGGTGGGGGTAGCAGACAGAGGCTCCGTTGGGAGGGCGGGACCACCAGGACCCCATGGGAGACACAGACCAGGGCCCAGGGCGCAGGGCCCCACCACTTCCAGGGAAGCACGGCAGGGGGCCGAGTGTGCCTGAGGCCAAGGACCAGAGAGAGCGGCCCCGCACCACCCGAGGCGAGCCCAGGCGGTGGGGGGCCTGCACGAGCCCTCGGCCCAGGGACGGCCCAGAGCCCGCCCCTCCCCCGGGCACACCCCCTCCAAGTGCTGCACGCGAGCGCTCCTCACGCCCGTGCCAGGCTGGCGGGGAAGCCCCGGCCAGTGCCTGCCCACACGCCAGCATCCCTGCCCCTGCATGGGAGGCGCACAGGGACTGCGGGCCAGGCCCTGTGGGCACATGTGACACGGTGCACCCTCCCTCCCACCCCGGCTTCCTGTGGGCAGCTTCCCATGGGCAGCCCGTGGCTGCGCTGGCCGGAAGGGCGGGGCCTGCTGTCGCTGCAGCGGCAGGGGGATGGCAGAGGGAGGGAAAGGGGCAGCAGCTGTGGGGCCGGGCCACCCTAGACACAGTCCCCAAGACGCCGAGGACACACAGGCGATGACCTGAGAGAATCTTTTTATTCGACCGAACAGGCGAGCAGAGCGCGCGGGGCCGGGCCTTCTGCCCAAAGCTGCGTCCCCGCACGGGAGGCGGCCCACATCCGGCCTCGGCCCACGCGCAGCCAGTCCGCAGGCCCCTCCTGGCAGCGGGGACAGGAGGGAGGGGACATGGGCTGGGAGCCACTATAGGGCGCCACCGGCCGCCCCCCTGCCCCTACGCCGAGCCGCCGACAGCGAAGACCCAGGCACGGCCGGGGCAGCAGAGGGAGGGACGGGAGGGTCTGACGGGACCCGGCCCCGACACAGGAGGAGACCGGCAGGGCCCACGGCCCGGCACGAGCCCGTCCCACGCACGAGCGATTTCTCTCAGAATGAGCGCACGCAGGGCCCCCGTGGGCGGCGGGGCCGGGCACACAGAAGACCAGAGAGAGGAACCCGCGGCTGGGGGGCGGAGCAGCAGTCCCGTGAGGCGCGCTGAGCGAAGGCAGAAGTCCCGGTGCTTCCCGACAAGCGGCACTTGTCCGTCCGGCAGGGACGGGGCGCGGGGGTGGGGGGGGCAGGTGGCCACCGGCTCCAGGCCCACACTCCACGTAGCCCGGCCTGGGCAGCGTTGCCGCTCAGGCCTCCCGTGAGTGTGCCCGGCACGTGGGCGCACGCAGGCGGACACACGCAGGCACACGGGCCACCGTCTCTGCACACGTGCACGCCTGTCCGACTGTCCGGCTCACCTCTCCTTCACGTGGTTCTGTGCCCCTGTGCCCCCGCCGCCGGCCCCCTCCCCGCCGGCCCCGCCGCGGCCCCCGCCGCTGCACAGCACCTCCGTGAGGTCGTCCATGACGGCGGTCTCTTTGGGATCCAGCAGGTTGAACTCCCTGGCGAAGAGGATGAAGTGGACGTAGAGTGTGTTCAAGTGTCCGTGCAGCTCGAGGGCCAGGGTCTCCTTGAAGTGGGACGAGTAGATGTGCGCCAGCACGTGGAACAGGTACCTGCAGATCTTCTTCACCAGCGACTCGAAGGAGCTGGGGAACTCGCGGCCTGTGGGACCGGCCGCGTCAGTCTGCGCCCCGCTCGGCCGCAGCGCCGCCAGACAGGCAGGCCCCTCCCCGGCCCCCGAGGAGCAGGCGCTGCGGCCCACACCTCCTGCGCTGCCCGCGGGCCGCCACTTGCTGCCCAAACCGGGACAGGGCCCTGCGGCCCCATGGGCTTCCCTGTATGTGGCCTGGGCTGCAGGGGCACACGGCCCCTCCTGCCAGCCAGGCGAGGCCCCCAGAAGCTCGGGACAGCCTGGAGCCCCTGCCAGGCCCAGCGGGCCCGCCTCGCTGGGCAGTGAGCCACAGCCGCCCCTCCCGGCCCGGGCCAGCCCCGCCCCCACGCCGACAGGCACGGCTCAAGACCTACCGTACTTCGTGGGGAACACGTCCTCATCGGTCACCAGCTTCTGCACAGAACTCATGACAAAGTCGACATACTGGGGGGCCGTGCACTTGACCTTCTTCCCCCGCTCGTCGTACCAGTAGTACTGTCTGTGGGGACAGAGAAGGCCGCTTAGGGCCCCGCCCCTGCGCACCGTCGCCCCAGCCCCAACCACTCCGGCCTGCGGAGGGGCCTGCGGCTTCCGGCGCAGCACCAGGCAGGCCCCCGGGTGCGGTGTGGCGGCGCCCTGCCCACCCCGTTCCCAGAGCCGTGGGGACAGTCTTCTGGGGACCCGCAGCCACGTCTGAGAAGGGGTCTGCTTGCACCGATTCCGGTCAGCGTCCGGGACGGACGCCGCCATCTGAACAAGCGCAGAGAAGTCAGCGGGGGCCCCACCCCGCCCCTGCTGCGCGGCTCGGGGGCCCCTCGTCCGAGGGAGCCCAGGCTCGCGGCTGCCCCCCTGGTGCTGGCCCCGCCTGGGCAGCACCCTGCGCCCTGGGGACCCAAGGGGCCAGGCCATGGAGATGAGTGAATCTTCGCTGCGCCTGCAGGGTCCTCGGGCCCCACACTGGGCGGAGAGCCTGGCCTCTGGCAAGGAGGTCCCACGGGCCAGGGTCCAGCACCCCGGGGGCCCGGGCAGCTGCTCCCCTATCCCGAGGGCTACAATGGGTGTGGGCACCTGGGCAGAGGTGTCAGTCTCAGAAACAAGCGAAGCTGCAAACTGGGACAGCTGCTCCCACGCCAGGCCTGAGGACAGCTCCCGAGGGACACGGGGGTCCAGCGTCTGCGAGGCAAACCCTCTGGTTCCCCGCTGCCCTGTCCCCGTTTTATCTCCCACGCCACACGGCGGAGCCGCACTGCCGGGGCACGCAGGTCTGTGCCGCGGCCCCGAGCACAGCGCCCCCAGCCAGCCTCACAGCCCGGGCCCCGCCCTGTGACCCGGTCCCCACACGCGTGCTGACCCTGGGGTGCCGCGGCCACCTGGCCAGATTGTGGGGCGGGGACCCGGTCCGTCCTTCCTTCCTGCGGGTGCGCTGCAGCCGGGACATGCCCACCGGCGGCCACGGGGGGCCAGGCCTGTGTGAGCCCGAGCCCCACGCTGCGGGGTGGGCGCCCAGGGGCCGAGTGCTGCTTCCGCAGCAGGCGCTCACCGCCCTTCAAATGGTCCCCACGGCCCCTGCACTGCCCGGCGTCCTTGTGAGTGCCCAGCATGCCGGCAGGCCTGGTACCGGCACGGCATCACCCCCGACTCTCCCCGTGCGGGGGGTGCGGGGCCTCCCAGGGCGCTCTGCCCGCCCTGCATCGTGGGGCGATCTGCCGTCCTGGTCTTTGCTGTCTCTACTTGGACCGTTTTCCTGCTGACGGCTCGTGGGACGTGGCTCCGCACCCCGGGGACCGGCCCCTTCTTGGTGAGCAATTCGCCTGCAGTCTCTCTCCTCCCAAACCGCGTCCGGCCCAGGGCAGAGCCCTACCTCCCATCGAGTCCCTCGGGGGCCCAGCCCCATTTCCAAGGCCGACAGCCCTCGCGCTGCTGTCAGCAGAGCTCCCCGCTGGAGCCGCGGCCTCACAGTTACACACAGGACCCACGTGGGCTCCCCCCCGGAGCCGCGGCCTCACAGTTACACACAGGACCCACGTGGGCTCCCCCCCGAAGCCGCGGCCTCACAGTTACACACAGGACCCACGTGGGCTCCCCCCTGAAGCCGCGGCCTCACAGTTACACACAGGACCCACGTGGGCTCCCCCCCGAAGCCGCGGCCTCACAGTTACACACAGGACCCACGTGGGCTCCCCCCCGGAGCCGCGGCCTCACAGTTACACACAGGACCCACGTGGGCTCCCCCCTGAAGCCGCGGCCTCACAGTTACACACAGGACCCACGTGGGCTCCCCCCCGGAGCCGCGGCCTCACAGTTACACACAGGACCCACGTGGGCTCCCCCCTGAAGCCGCGGCCTCACAGTTACACACAGGACCCACGTGGGCTCCCCCCCGGAGCCGCGGCCTCACAGTTACACACAGGACCCACGTGGGCTCCCCCCTGAAGCCGCGGCCTCACAGTTACACACAGGACCCACGTGGGCTCCCCCCGGAAGCCGCGGCCTCACAGTTACACACAGGACCCACGTGGGCTCCCTCCTGAAGCCGCGGCCTCACAGTTACACACAGGACCCACGTGGGCTCCCCCCTGAAGCCGCGGCCTCACAGTTACACACAGGACCCACGTGAGCTCCCCCCTGGAGCCGCGGCCTCACAGTTACACACAGGACCCACGTGGGCTCCCCCCTGGAGCCGCGGCCTCACAGTTACACACCGGACCCACGTGGCGTTCACTTGGGCCTCAGACGTGAGGCTTAGGGCGTGGTTTGCCGGTGGTTTTTTTTTCTTTTCTGGTGCATGGCCTGTTTTTCCAACAGGCAGTCGGTCAGAAGGACGACCGTTTCTCCACTGAACTTCTGTCTCTGTGAAATACCAAAGGCCACGTTTGCTTCCGCCTGTCCCGACAGCTGTCCCTTCCCGTGTCGCCGCAGCGTCTGCATGGCTATCCCTCTTCGGCACCGCCTCAGCCCTCGCCGGGGCCCGCACGCCAAGCCCACGTGGGGGCCAGCCTGTCAGCGTCAGCACAGCGGCGGGGGCGGCCGCGCCCGCGGTGGGGAGGCCCGTGTGCCCTGCGTGCGCTGCGCACGCCCACCCGTGCGGCTGCTGTGTGGGAGCCTCGGTGCGGCACGGCGCTCCCCCGGGGACACAGGCGGTCACTGGCCGGTGGGGGCGGCCTGGCCTCACTAAGCTGCCTCGTCCCCCCCGTTTCTCATTGGATGCCACGGGGGCTCTCGGCACAGTCCACGCGAGGCACGTGCACGGGGAGGCGGGGGGGCGGTGTTTCCTCCCGGTGTGCGCACTTCCACCGCTCTTTGCCGTGTGCCCGAGTTTTGACTCGCCACGCCTGCCGAGCACGGGGCCACTGGCTCCAAGCGGTGGCCCTCCGCGCTGTCCCCTCGTCTTCTCGGTGCCCGCCGGACGTGCGGTACCCCCTTCATCCCTTATGTTGGTAACTGGACCCTCTTCTCTTTCATCTTTGTCCGTCCCGCTAAAGGCTCGTCAATTTTATTGATATTCTCAGGGAACCAGCTTTTAGTTTCACTGACTTTCCCTACTATTTTCAGAAACCAGTTTCAGTGATTTATGCTTTTTTTCCCTTCTGCCCAAATTGGGTTTATTCTGTTCTTTTTCTAGTTGCTTAACATGTAAGTTTAGATTATTAACTTGAAAGCTTATTCTTCTGAAATGCACATGTAACCCCATAAATCTCTCTCTCAGCATTGCTTGAACTGTGCCCACAACTCAGATTTGCGTTGTTTATAACGTTTTCCAATCTCCCTGCGACTTCCTCTCTGACCGTGTATTATTTACAACTGTGTTAATTTTCGTCCCGGCGCGTGTGGCGCGGACTGAGCACCGGCCTGAAAACCGAAGGGTGGCTGGTTCGATTCCCAGTCAGGGAGCAGGCCTGGGTTGTGAACCAGGTCCCAGCAGGGGGCGTGTGAGAGGCGAGGGGCAACCACACAGGGATGTTTCTCTCCCTTTCTTTCTCCCTCCCTCACTCCTCTCTAAAAATAAAAAAAAGTCTTTCAAAAAACAAAAGAAAAAAGCGTTGCTTTCCAAATGTCTGGAGATTTCCATGTTATCTTTCTGTCACTGACGACTAGGTCAACGCCGTGACCGCTGGGTGGCGCGCAATCCCGACCCTCTGGGGTGTGTTAAGGGCAGCACTGGCAGCCAGGACCTGACCCGCGCGGGCGGCTCCGCCCAGGGCACGGGGCAGGTGTGCGGTGCTGCCGAGGGTGCAGCGCCTGGGCCCGCGCGGCCAGCTTGCCGAGCGCGCTCTCGGGACTTCCTCTCACTGAGTCCCGTCTACCAGCTACGAAGGGACTGCTTCTCCTGCTTCCGGTCCGTCCTCTTGTCCTGTGTAAAGCCGTGCTGCCCGGTACGTAGGCTCGCAAGGCCGACGCATCGACCGCTTTGCAGACGCTTGGTCCTCCGCACGCCTCTGGTATTCTGTGCTGTGTCATGTTTCACGGACCCTTCCCTGCCCTCGACGTCTGACCTGCCTGTGTGGCTGCATCCGCAGGGCGCCTCTGGCTGACGCCGTGCAGCGGAGGGCCCCTTCCCTCCGCCGCCCGCCGTGGCTGTCCCCGCCGAGCCGCTCCAGCGAAGTTCACCGTGACGTGGCCGCTGCCTGCTCCCTCTGCGGTCACTGCTGCAGCCTCTCTGCCGACACAGCCTTCTCAGGGGCAGCTCCGCTCCCAGGGCTGGACACGCCTCCTGTGCCTGCTGTGCCCCCTGAGAGGCTCCTGGCACCTGGGGGCCAGTGCAGCCACCAGGCAGGCCCTGACCTCCGCGTGCCCGTGACCCGCTGTGCTCTCCCCCCGCGCTGCCCGCCTCCGGAGAACACGCCATGGGGCCCTCGGAGCAGGTCTGCTGCCTCGCTGGGGACAGAGCTCCGCAGTGGCCGCCATTCACTCCCCTGGCCCAAGAATCCCAGGGGAGCGCCTGCCGGCCCCGAGGCTCCTGAGGACGGCCCCGCCAGCGTCCCCACAGGCGCCACGCACAGGCCCCACCACTCCTAGGCCCGCCCTTTCCAGCGAACGACTAGGACGGCCTGGGCATAGGCTCTCGGGGTTCTCCTCTTTCTCGGCCGTTCAGCCCTGGGAGCCCGCAGGTCTCCCCCGCAGCCACCACGCCTCAGGCGGGTTTTTGGCACGGCCCCTCCCCTTCCTGTTCGGGGCTTCAACGCTGCCCGCTGCTGTTGGTGCCACAGACGTGGGCACGCTGGGGCGGCTCTGCCCAGGGGAGGCAGGTGGCTCTGCGCACCTGAGACAAGCCGCCCCTTCCTCTCCGGCAGCGAGGGGTCTCTACCAGTCACACACGTGCCAACCCACGCAACTCGGCAGCAAGCCTGTGCAGTGGGTCGGGGGAAGAGGACGCCAGCAGGGGCTTGAGCTCCTCCTGCCTCCAGCTGCCCGGGGCCCAGCCGGCGCCCACGGCCCCGTCAGCCCGACGCCAACCCTGCCCTCTCCCGAGGGGCCTCTTATCAACCGTGTGGACACCAGAGGACAGGGGGTGGGGCAGCGAGCGAGCCTGGCTTCCCCCGCCTGCCGGCAGGCCGCTCAGACACCGCATGGCCAAGCGTGTAGCCGGGAAGCCGTGTCCTGAGCGTGCTACAAACACACGCGCGCACGCAAGCAGGCATGTGGTTCCCCCGCTCGCTCCCAGCACCCGCCGCAGGTCTGCACCACAGAGACCCCCGTCCCGCCGACGCCCCCCTTCCTGGGCCCCCCTTGAACTCGCTCCCCGCCCTGCCCTCCGCGCCCTCCCCTCCCCGGGGCCAGCCGGGGGGACACACACGGCAGACACCTCAGCAACCCCTCCAGGGCATTTCCTTGGCCAACAAGGCCGAGCGCGCCACGGTCGGGGGCACTGCTCCCCGAAGACCTGGCCCTCGGCTGCGACCCAGCGGGGCCGCAGGACCCGGCCCCAGGGACTGAGAGCCGAGCCCCTGCCCGGGCCAGGGCCGGGGCGCCCGGACGGCGCGTCCGTGTGAGGCAGGGCTGCGGGGAGGCCCCGCTGCACCGGGGGCGGCAGGAGCCCTGGGTGGGGACAACGGCCAGAGCAGGGAAGGCCCGGCAGCTCCGCGGCATCTTAGGAACTGAGGGGCATGTCCCAGGGGAAGGTGGGCGCCTGCGGGGCCCCCACGGCCAGCGTCCCCTCTCGGGCAGAGGCCCCAGCCGGGCGTCGGGAGGACTCGCGCGGCCCACGGACGGAGGGAGGGGGCCGAGGGCGGCGGAGGCGGCACTCACGTGTTGCACACGGCCATGGTCTGGCACGCCTCCCCCGTGCAGAACTCCGAGATGGTGCTGTACTGCAGGTTCACGTGGTGGAAGAACGTGGTGGCTGCGGATGGAGAGCGGGGCAGGCGTGAGTGCCACCGCCTGGGACGTGGCGGCCGCCCAGCGCTCTGTGCTCAGACCGGGGCTGCCCGCGCGTCTCACGGACCAGGGTCAGAGGCCTGGCGGGGAGCGGCAGCCTCGGGAGCCGCCGGCAGCCCCCGTCAGACAGGCGGGCACAGGCCCGGACCGCGGGCGCCGAGCAGGGCAGGGGCTGGTGGCCATCGGGACCAAACCCCCCGATGCGGCGCAGCGGGGGGGCGCGCGACCCACTCACGCCAACGATGACCGCGGTCCCCCGGACACAACCCCCAGCCAGAGTGGGGGCGCCACCCGAGCACTGACGGAAGCAGCCGCCGCTCCGCCCTCCGCCCATCACCCTTCCCTGGGGAGCCCTGCCTCGCGTGCCGGCGACCCTCCCGTGGCTTCTAAGAGCCTGGGCCCCGGGCCGACCAGGACCCACCCAAGGCCCTCAACGCCCTGCAGGGCCAGCCCCCCTGTGTGTCAGCTTCCAGCTGAGGTGAGCGGTGAGCTGGGGGGACGACTCCGGGCCACAGGCCACGTGGGCAGCGCGGCCCCTGCGGCAGACGGGGCTCTGCAGACGCCCGAGGGCCCGCAGGGCCGCCGCCTTCGCTGCCTGGCTGCCAGCAGCACGCGCAACCGGCCCAGCCCCGCGCCCTGCGCTCCGCGCCCCGCGCCCCACGCACTGTTGCTGGCCAGCCACTCGTTGAGGTCGATCTCGCGGGGCAGCGCCACCAGCTCCTTGAACTCGCAGTCGGTGATCCGGGACTTGGCGTGCTCCGGCTCCAGATATGCCTTCTTCTCCTCCGCCGCCGGCTTCTTCCCGTTGGGCTTCGCTTTGGACTTCCTGCCGAGGAAAGGGAGCTGTCACCGCACGAAGTGCAGGCGCGGGTTCCACGCCCGGGCCCCCAGAGACGAGTGGGGCTGTCCCTGCCAGTCCAGTGGGACACCAAGGGGGTCCTCCCAGAGATGCCTCGGGACATCCCACCCCCACTGGGCACCACGTGCTGGCCACGGCCACATCCCCGCTGCCGGGGCGAGAGGCACGCAGGGACACTCGCCGCTGGCCCGACGCCATGGGGCCCAGCCTGAAACTCTGGGCTCCCCTCGGCGTGGGACGCCGCAGGCCTGCAGCCAGCCTGGCTCATGCCTGGGAACTGGCTCCCCAAGGCAGGACCCAGGAGTAGGACACGGGGACAGGGACCCCCCACCCTGACCCCAGAGCGGAAGCCCCCGGGGGGGGGGCGTCCACACGAGCACCCGCCATGTGCCAGCAGCCCGCCCGCCCGCCCCGGACCCCGCCAGCACAGGCCCCAGGCGCACCCACACGCCCGCCCCGCCTGCCTGCTCTCCCTGAGCGCGGGGCGCAGGCTCCCGGGGGGGCGGGCAGGGAGCTGGGTGCCACAGAAATTCGCAGCAATGGCTGCTTCTCACAAAAATTTTTTCCTGTTTAGGAAGAGTTCTTTCCCACAAAAATGCACTGTCATCTAACGCAGAACAGGCTCGTCTGGCTATTTTTACATGGGCGAATGCGTATCTCCATGGCGCCTGTTTCCATGTGAGCCGGGGACCCCAGTGGCAGGCCGCCACGCCCCCAGCTCCCCGCTGCCGGGCCTCTCACGCCTCAGCGGGACGTGGCGCGGGGGGCTGGCCAGCGAGACGGACGCCCCCAGGGAGGGCACGTGCTGGTCCGGCAGCCCGGAGCGGCAGCGGGACACGCCGGCCCGGGATGAGCTCGACACGGGTCGCCACGCCGGTCCCTCCTCCTGTGACCCCGCAGGGCCGTGGGCGGGGTGCCGGCCTGGCCCCTGCGGCTCGCATGCTCGGGCCCCTCAGGCCCATGGGGGTGCAGCCCCCCCCGCCCCGGCTCACACCAGGCCTCTGTCACTGTCTCGCCGTCTGAGCCGGAGCCGCCCCCGCCCCCGGCCCAGAGCGGAGGCCACAGACGGGGCGGGGGCGCAAGGTCTCCGTGGCTCCCTGGCCTGGCCCTTTTTTGTCCTGTTTTGAGAAGTTGCTGGCGGGTTATGTAAGAGAAACCGGAAGGGAAACGGCTCCCGAGCGCCAGAGAGATGTTTTCCCTTCGGCTCCTCACAGCAGATCTTCCCTTAAAAGGCGACGTGTGCTGGCCTCTGGGGACCGTACGGGGAGCGGCCAGGCCCAGGCAGGGCCCTGGCGTTCTGGGGGCAGGCGGGCAGGACCCGAGCCCCCGCCCTGCCCGGGCGGGCCGGGTGCAGGGCAGGCACGGATGCGCACGCGCACCGCAGGCCCTTCAGGGGGCCCCGCGTGGGCGAGGCTGTCCCCTGGGAACAGCCCCAGGGCCGGGACAGGGCGGAGCACGCGCGGGGAGCCCGGGCCCCAGGAAGGGCTGCGCGTGCCCTGCCCGCGGCCCCTCTCCCGACCCTGGGCCCTGCCGCCGAGGGCCGGGACGCCGCAGTGGGCTTGGGCTGCCCCAGGCCCTGGCCCAGGCAGGAAAGACCACCCTGCAGGACGCCCGTGGCCCGGCCCCGCCCTCCTTACTTGACGAGGGACCTGCGGGGCAGAGTCCCCCCACAAGCCGGGGCCGGCCACCCCACCCCCTCCCGCACTCGGCCTCAGACGCCCGCCCCACTTTGCCGTGTAGGAGCTGTGTCGCCTGGGGCCTCACAGGGCATGAGCACTGGCCAGCGGGGGTCACACGCTGCCCGGCACGCCCTGTCCACAAGACCCTTCGCTGCCAGGTGCGCGCCTCACCTGCGGCCCCTCGTCACGCCCCGGCTCACATGGGGAACCCACCTGTGCTGGCCGCGACCGCACGTGCAGCAGGGAAGGGCGGCCCCGGGATGTGCCTGGGGGCCGCTCTCGTGGCTACAGGAAGCGAGCCGAGCGCCGGGAGCATGGCGCAGAGCGGCTGAGGGCGCATGCCGGGTGCCGGCGCTGGCCCTGCCCCCAGTCCCGGGTGTCCGCAGCCCCCAGGCACGTTGGCGGGCGTGGCCCGGCCGTCCAGAAACGACGAGTAACCCGAGGGTTTTGAAAACGGGGTGAAACTTCAAGGCGCTAGCCACGCCAGGCCCCAGGCACAGAGCGAGTGCCACAGACGGGACCCGGCAGGGCGGCGCCCCCTCCCCTCCCCTGGGGCCCTGCCCAGCCTGCTGTGTGCGTGTCACCTCTGGGTGCCCCCCGACCCCCACGGCTGTTGGGGCAGCTCAGGCCTCACCCAGGGAGGGGCACCGTGAAGGCAGGGCAGCGCCAGAGCAGCGATGTCTGAAGACAGCCCCGTGGACCGCAGGAGGCCCAAGGTGCGGGGGGAGCGGGGACACAGGAACCTGCAGGCACATCAGCAGGTGGCACGGGGGGCCGCCCGAGCCGCTCCACGGGGAGGGGCGCTGGGGCCCGAGCCGGGCGGGTCTCTGCACGGCCACCTGCTCTCGGGTGGCCTCACAGCCCCAGGCCAAGCTCCTGTGGTGCCCCCAGGACACTGCAGGACACAGGCTGGAGCTCTGGGGTCAGCCTTGTCCCGATGGCCAGGCCAGACACGAGGGGCCGCTGGCCCCGGCTCACCCCCCGCTGTGAGCACGCGCCCCTGGAGCCAGCAAGCACGGGGCCCCTGCCGCCGGGGGCCCCCGTGTGCTGGAGGCAGAGCCCTGGGCGGGACCTGGAAAAGGTCCTTCTGAAGCTTGGGGCTCCCAGCCTGGACGGTCCCCTGTGCTCCCAGCTGGCCCGGCGCTGCCGCGCCCCTGCAGGCACTGCCTGGGAGCCCGAAGGTGGGAGGCCGTGTCCTGTCAGACCCCCACAGGCTGCGGCCGGGCAGGTGCTGTGCAGGAGGCCGCGCGGGCCGTATCCCGTGGCCTGGCGGCTGGCAGTCGGCACCCCAAACAAAGCGGCTTTCACAAGCTCCGGTGTCCCACCGGGAGGGAGCTGCCGGAGCGGCCGGACAAAGGCAGGTCAGGAGCTGCGCGCGCCGCTGGCCCCACGCTGCAGCCCCGGCGCTCAGACTGCAGGCCCCCCGCTTGCTCTCCAGCACCCGGCCGAGTTGTCTGTCCCCTTCTCCCAGGGTCTCCCTGGCCCCGCGAGAACGGCCCGGGCCCCGTGCTCCCACAGGGCTTGCCGGGACCTCGGCAGTCCCGCGCCACGGCTCCGGGCGGGTGGGGGGCTGCTGCAGGGCTCGGCCCTTCCCAGCTGCACACGCAGGTGTGCACGGCCCGCTGCCCCATCCGAGCCGGCCGCCGTCCCCGACCTGACCGACGGCCCGGAGATGCCGCCAACGTGCCCCCAGCCCTCATGCTGGTGGGCGGGGCTCTGCTGCCCACTGGCACTCGGCGGGAGCCCCCGGCGGGCATGCGGCTGATCTGTGCACGAGAACCCTGTTGGAAGGGGGAGCGGGCACAGGGATAGCGGGAGGCCCAGGCACACACTGGTCTTGCCCCGAGGCCCCCCGGCCGGCCCCCCGGGAGGCCTGCTCAGTTGCTTACAGTGGAAGGTGAAAACGGGAAAACCGAGAGATCCTCTCATTTAAAAATCGGGACCCACCAAATTCACAGGCAGATGTGCGACTGCTGCCTGGAACGGACGGGTGACGCGTCCGGCTCCCCGGGGCCCCCTTGGCCGGGGCCGAGCCGTGGCCCTCAGCCCCGCGCACCCACGCAGGGGCACGCTCGCCTGAAGGCCAGCACGGCCACCCCCCTCGGGCCTCGGGAGGGATGCTGTGGGGGCACCGCGGGCCCAGGGAGGGAGAGGCGGGCGGAGCAGGACAGGCTCCTCTGGCAACACCCCTGCAGCGGCCATCCAGCCGACGGGGCCCCCTGGGTTCTCCTGACACGGCCACTCACCCACAGACAGGCTCCAGGCCCCGGCCCAGCCGTGGGGGTCCGTGCAGCGGGCTCGGAGGGGACGACGTGGGGTGCTGTGGCAGAAGGACCACCCAGGGGGCCCCCTCCCGCACACACTCCTGCTGCTGCGGGCCTTCAGGGGAGCCCCTGCAGACAAAGCTGCAGACCAAGCCCCCCCTAGCGGGCTCCGGCCTCATAGGCCATCCCAGGACAGCGGACAACGGGCCACCATGCCCCAGCCCGGCCCCAGAGGCAGGGAATAGGGACAATCAGACACCCTCCCCTCAGTCGTCCCCTGCCTCCCGCCCCCCATGTTCACCTGAGCACTTTGCTGACCGCCTGAAGCACCATTTTGCAGCTGAGTCCGGTTTTGGGGGACTGGCTGAGCGGAGCCCGGTCTGCAGGGAGGCTGCTGTGCTCCCCCGGCATGCTGGGACAGCTCAGACGGGCCGAGGGACGTGGGAGCCCCGGGGCAGAGGCAACGCCGCCCCCGCCCTCCCAGGGCGGCCGCCAATGAGGATGCGGGGAAAGGAGGGCTCCGGCCGGGACTCACACAGCCGCCCCATTCACAGGCCAAGGCCGCTGGGGAGATGAGGGCGGGTCCCAGCCGACGTTGCAGAGTGGCGCCTGGCGGGCGGTGCTCTGCGGGGAGGGCAGGGCCCCAGGGAGGCCGTCGGGGGGCCCCTCCGGCCCAACCCGGACAGCTCCCCTGGGAGCAGGCGGCGGCCCTGCCCACTGGCTCCAGGGCCAGAGCGCCCGGGCCCGGCCCCGGCCCGCGAGGCAGGCAGCAGGCGGGCGCCCGCGGGGCTGCACCCAGGCTGCCGCCGCCGCCTGCCCGGTGGCGAGGGGCTCCGGCACGCCCCCGTGCGGACGGCCTCGGAAAGACAGGGCCAGCAGGCTGCGGGCGTCCGGACCAGGAGCTCGCAGGCCCGGCAGAGGCCGCCCCTGCAGGGGGCGCGGGCAGCAGACCTGGCCGAAAGCGTCGACAGCACCTGGCGGCGGGTGTGCGCATGCGACCCGGGTGGCCGTGGCCTCCTTCACG